ATATTTTCTATTTATTAAGATATATTCATTTTAATTTTTTTTTGCCTCCCTCAATTTTTATCTGAATTTCAAATTAATCAAATAAAAATGTGAAAATCATGAATTACATGTGCAAAAATTACTTTATCTCGTCAATTTTTTTATGTTATTCTGTATAAATGATAAAATTCTTTAAGAAATAAGCTTTCTCATTTTTAATTATATAAAGCTTATTTCTTTTAACTGTTGTTTCTTTCTAAACTTTTTTTTAATTTTTCAAGGTAAAAAAAAAAAATCATTCAATATTTGAAATAAATTCTTATAAACCGTCAGTTTAAACGCAAAAATTAAAAAAAAAAAGTTTACAGTTTCATTTATTTCAATGCAACTTTCAGCATTTTTTACGTCACATAAAATTATTTACATTAGATATTTATTTTTATAGCTCCTAAAACTCGTTATTTATTAAACCATTTAATAGAAGTTTAGCCGACTCTTGTTATAAAGAAAAAAACTTTGAATTGTTTTTTAACATCATAACAATCAAAAGGTCAATCACTCTATTCTTTATCTTTCAAAATATACGGTACCAAATCAGAAAATATTAAGTACATGATATAAAAAAAGAATCTGAATTATAATCATTAGAAAGAATAAATCAAAAAGGAAAACGAACATCAATAAAAAAGTTTTTTTTTTTTTTCCCTGAATGATGAACAGTTAAAATCAATCAAACCACTTTTACATAAAATTACATTCACTTATGCTATCGTTTTTACATAAAATAAACAAAATAGATTTGCTGAACGTTGACCTCCAAGAATTATGATGAATCCAATTTAGAGAAAATGAGTTCCTTATAAAAAGAATATCCTGCAGGATCTTGAGAAAAAGATCAGCTTATTTGGATTACTTCTTTTTTCCATGAAAATACAGATTTCCTCAAAAAAGATATTTTTTGTTTATTTATTTATTTCAAATTCTTTCAAATTTTTCAATGAAAATTAAATTAATTTCAAATACTCTCTCAAATTCTTTCAAAAAATAAAAATTGTTATATTTATATTGCATTTTCTCGTGATATACTTTACAATCAATGGAACCCTCTAGAATTTATCTTATTTATGAAGAAATTCATACCATGGATATATTGAATAAACAAAATTTCAAATTACATTTTCAAACAATCGAAATGTAAAATAATACATTCAATGGAAGAAGCTCTTATTCTGATAAATTGCTTATTAATCATTTAACATATTAAATATACCATTTCTTGTTTCAAATTGAGGAACGAAGTCACATTCAATGCAATTACTTTTTACTAAATTTTATTTTTTAAGTTCATTTATTCAATTTATTCTTAGTTAACTTATTATTTTTCGTTTACTGAACAGAAACTCCAGATTTAAAAGATTTTAGTTACAACTCAAATATATTCACAAAATTTTATAGGAAAAACTGTATTAAATAACGCAATATTATTTTTTATCTGTTTAAAATGAATTTCATCTAATTATTATATACAATGTCGAAAACAAGATGATGATTGAAATTCTAAATCAGTAAAAATATTTTTATGCATGTATTACTTTCAAATTCTCATTTAAATATAATGTTAAACTTCTATACAATAGAAATAATTAAAAATAAAAACCTTTTATTTCAATGAAGATAATCTTAAATAAATTTTTATTATTGAATGCTGATGAAATGATACGAAAGCGTTAACAAACTGAATCGTTCTTTGAATATTTAATGAAAAATTCACAAATTTTGAAATTCAAATTGTAAAGATATAATCTCAATTTTGTGAAAACTCATGCAAAAATTTCAATTATAAAAAACATATTTAAATGCTTATTTTGCCTCTTTATTGAGAAATTGAATACAATTTTTTTTGGAAAAATTTTCAAAAGAGATTTGAAAAGAGGTTATTTTAAATAAATAAAAAATTATTGAAACAGATCATTTTATAAAAATCAACAATGCTCAAAGCATCATCATTTGATCAAGATTTATACAATCAACTCAAACTCATTTCTCAAATTCAAAAGTCAGTATCGAATTTGAATAATGAAAACCTAGAAGAAATTGGCAATCAAATATTGCAAAACGAACAAATTATCGAAAAAGAAGAAAATATCTACCTTTTAGCCCAAATTCTGCTAAATGTTGCAGATTATAGACCAAAGAACATAGAAACTCTTGCAGATTTCTTTATCTACATCCGACAATCAAATTCCTATTCAAATAAAGTTAATTTGCTTGAAAAATTCATTGTTTCATTTATGCATTCGAGAAGACCTCTTTCAATTTCCTCATTGTTCTTCTTGAGGACATTGTTTTCAAGAAATGCCATCTCGTTAGCTTCAATATTAAACGAAATCAATACAATTCTTCACAACAATCAAGAGTCCAACGACATCACAAATCAACAATTCATAGATGATACATTGGACTCTGATCCAGAAAACATAGAAATAATCTTAACGAGAATTCTCAACTGGTTTTATCCAGAAATCAAATCAGCAAACAAAGATATAATTAAAATAGCAAAGGAGAAGTATCATTATCAAGTTCCCAAAGAATATCAAAACGATGATGACGAAGAGACACTTAAGAAAATGATGGAAACAGGACACTCTTTGGATATTCTTGCTGAAATAATTAGAAATGATGACATCGATTCATTTAAGAGATACGTCGAACATAAAGAAGGAGCATTTCATATTCATCATGAAATCAAATCATCAATATTTGAAAGATGTTCAATTTTGTTGAATGATCCAACATTGCTTCAATACTCAGCATTTTTCGGATCAATTAAAATATTCGATCATTTGCTTTCACTTTTATCTAACATTGATCCAAATGAAGACGATTTCATATTGTTACCGCATTTTGCAATTGCAGGAGGAAGTTTCGATATCATTCACACTTTGGAAGAGAAAGGCTTTGAATTTTTCAGTGGAATTCCAACATCAATCAAGTATTTCCAAAATGACATTTTATCTTGGATTTTGGATAATCATAACAACTTCAGAAATGGCTCATCAAATGTCTCTCCGAAATTGCCATTTAGACTCTTTGATTACTCTGATCCAATCTCATTCTACAATGAATTTGATGAGAATAGATACTATGAATGCTTATTAAATAACTACAGAAATGAATATATATTCAATAATTGCTCTCAATATTCAGAGGATGAATACGACATCGATGAAGATGACAAGAAAGATTTGAACCAAGAAAGTGATTCATTTTCATATTTTGATCGAAACAAGCCAGATAACTTGAAATTTTTAGATATTGATGCAACTTTTAATGCAATAATGGATTCAAATAATTACTTGGCTTTATTCACTTTGTTTCCTCATGGACTTGATATCAATACTGCCAATGAGAAATCCCAAGAAACATTACTTCATTATGCCATCAAAAAAGGCAAATTATATCTTGTTAAATTACTTTTATCAGTGAAATCAATTGACCTTTCAATTGCTGACATAAATGAAGAAACACCACTTATGTACTCAGTTATTTACAACAGAAAGAAAATATTCTCTTACATGATGAATGATTCGAAAATATTGGATTCATTGACAGATCAAAATTACATCAAAATGATTTTCTATTCAAAAGTGATACAACCAGCAATTGGCATATATAATTTGCTCATAGAAAAATGGAAAGTTGACTTGATCGGTTTAATTGATTCACAAGATATCCAATGTTTATGTAACGTATTTACATATCTGCCATTCAATTTATATGAAAGACAATTTGAAAATGCAATAATTCATACATTTGACAGAAGAGATTTCAACATAATGCATCTTCTTTTTAGCCGTCTTTTGCTTGAAAAAGATTTGTATCTAACTGGAAACATAGAATTTGTTAATGCAGAGGACGAAGCGTATGAAGCTTTGGAATTTGGAAATGTGTCTCAATACATTGAAAGTTATTTGAAAAGAAGAAAACATGATAAAATTGTCAACTATTACACACTGTTCAATACTTATATTAAACAAACAGTAAAGCCACCACTGTACGTTCAAGATTTCAAAGATATTTTTGGAAATAACTTTTCTTTATCTTTCAATACTTGCTGCATTGCATTGGTTTTTGTTACAAAAGAAGGAGAAAACAAACACATAGAAATAAATTTCAACATGAGTCACAAGAAACCAAAGCTAACAAAGAAAAGGCAACAGCCAAGAAAAAAGGATATCAACAAAAAAAGAGTAATAATTGATTAAATTAATAAACAATGATCTAAAACTAGTTTTTTTTTTTAATTCATAATAATCTTCTTTGTCTAAAAATACAATATAAACAAAAGATTAGGAAAATTGTAATTATATGCATTTTTAGTACTTACAAGTTGCTTTACATCAATATAAATCAGGAAAACAATGCATTTTTTTTTATTAAAAGATCAATTTTTTTTTTATGGGCTGTGAAGATTGAAGGTGGAATAATATGTAAAATATATAAAACATCTTTTTTAGTTACTTAATTTAATACATCAAGTTTCTTCTGAAATATGACATTGAAAGAAGAAGAAGAAGAAGAAGAAAAAAAAAACACAAAAAATGGATGATAAGGGATTCGAACCCCTGGCCTCTATCACGCAAGGATAGCAACACTACCGCTGTGCTAATCACCCCTTGATATTTATATAAATTCAAACATATAAATATTCTAAGTGTAAGATGAATTCTAATGGAAATCTACTCATTTTAATTATTCTCAATAAATGCAACATTTCGTATACATGAAGATGATTTTAAATGATACTCCATTTAAAATCCTATATTTGTATGAAATCAGCATCATATATTTGAATTCCATTCAAAATCAGATAATTGATGAAATCGAAAATAAAAATTCGAATTACTCCATCAAATTATGCAGTTAAACGAAAAAATATTTTAAGTACTTGATTTTTCACAACAAGTTTCCCCTAAAATATGACATTGAACAAAGAAAAAAAAAAAAAATAAAACAAAAAATGGATGATAAGGGATTCGAACCCCTGGCCTCTATCACGCAAGGATAGCAACACTACCACTGTGCTAATCACCCCTTGTTATATATATAAATAAACATATAAAAAAATATTTTTAAATTCACAATCTATATCATTATTAAAAAGATCAAATATATATATATATTTGAATCACAGAATATTATATCACTTGAGTTTCTAATAAAAAGCGACATATCATTAAAATTATGGTTTATTAAAAAAAAGGGGAAACTGTTAAAAAAAAAATATTGTTGATTCACTGTTTTGACAAGAAAGAAATAATTTCTTTACTCTCCATCCTTTTTGCGACATCAAGAGGTGTTTCATTAAAAACTGTTTAAAAATTTCATTAAAAAAATACAATTTCCCCCAATTTCATGAGACAAAATAATACTTTTAAAACTTCATTAAAAAAACGAAAAAAGGAAGAAAAACGGATTTTGAATTAATATCGATTTCATTCAGTGAAACAATGTATTTAACAATATCAACATTTGAAGATTCACATGCCATATGCAATATAGTTTCATAAAACAATTTATTTCATAGAATTCCATGAAAAAAAATCTTATTTAGAAACAGAATAAAAAAAATCAATAAATTAAACGTTATTCAAAATCAAAAAAGTGAAACATTTGTCGATTTTATGTCAATTTTATTCAATGAAGTAAGATATTTAACAAGTTCTAAATTACCTGATTTACAAGCCAGATGCAGAAATGTGTTATTCAAAAAAAATTAAATTAGAAACACCATAAATTTTTATAATTAAAAAAAAATGTCATTAACAAACAAAATTTTTTTTAAACGTCATTAAAAAACAAACAAAAAAAATGTCTTTTGAATCAACATCAACTTTTTTCAATGATATAAAGTATTTAACGAGATCATAGAATCCTAATTTGCTTGTCAAAAATAGCTGTGAACGATTAACAAAATTAATTTTGGAATGATATTAATAATACAAAAAATAGAAATGAAATTAAAAAAGACGTTTAAAAACGTTATTAAAAAATTTAAAACCAAAATCGTTTTTGATTTAACTTTGACTTTGTTCATTGATATCAAATGTTTAACAAGATAAAGGCTGCCTGATTCACATGCTTTATGTAATATTGTGTTATTAAAATCATAATTTATTTAAAATTCCATGAATGATTACAAAATAAAAATGTCATAAAAAAAATGATAGAAAAAAATATCATCTTTTGCATTTACATCAATATCTTTTAATGATATAAGATATTTAACAAGATCATAATTACCTGACTTACAGGCTAAATGTAAAATTGTTTCATAAAATAATTTTTTTCTTTGAAATTTCATTAAAAAAATATTTGAAAAAATAGAATGAAAAAAATTGAATAAAAATTTCATTCAAAATTTAACAATTAAAAATTGATTTTGCTGTTTGGTCTATTTCATTTAATGATATGAGATATTTAACAAGATTTACATTTCCAGACAGACATGCAGAATGTAATATTGTATAATAAATATCAAAATATTTGTAATTCCATTAAAATCAAAGCTATTGAAATTGAATGAAAAAAAAAAATTTGTTTTGAAATTTCATTAAAAAAAATTAATAGAAATTGATTTTGCTTTAATATCAATTTCATTAAGAGATAGAAGATACTTAACTAGATCAAAATTGCCAGATTCACAAGCTGAATGCAAGATTGTATAATAAATGAAATCTATTTTTAAAACACCATTAATTACAACTTCTAAAAAATTTTATTAAAATAAAACTAATTGAAACTTCATTAAAACGGTTTGAAAATATTGGCAGTTTTGAGATCAATTTTGTTTAATTGAATAAGATATTTAACAAGATCAAGATTACCTGTTTCAGAAGCTACATGCAACAAAGTATTATAAAAACAACAATGACATTTAAAACACCATTGAAAAAAAAAGATTTATAACACCATCATTTAAAAACACTAAAAGATAAAAACATTATCATTGCCAATTTCAACTTTATTTAACGAAATGAGATATTTTACAAGATCAAGATTACCTGATTGGCATGCATAATACAGTACTGATTCATAAACCAAAATAAAAAAAAATTCCATGAACGTTTTAAATTCAAGAACAGAAAAAATTGAATTGCTTTATAAACATCATTCAAAAAGTTGATTATTAATTGTTTTTGATTTGATATCAATTTTGTTTGTTGATATTAAATACTTGACAAGATCAATGTTACCTGAATAACAAGCCAAATGGAGTAAATTTTCATAAATATTATTTTTGAATTCCATTCAAAAATTGAATAGAAATTGAATAAAACAAAAAAAAATTAAATTTCATTACAAAAAAATAAAATATTTAAAATATCTGCGTCAGTAAGATCGCTTTCATTAACCAATACCAAGTATTTAACGAGCTCTAAATTACCAACTTTGCAAGCTTCATGCAACAATGAGTTATCGTTGATTTCTATGTCATCAACATCATCAACATTTCTCATCAAAACTTTTACAATATCAGCGTATTCTTTTTCTTTTTCAGCAAACTTTTTCTGTAGCCTTTCAATTTCAAAAGAATTTTCGGTGCTGCTTTTTTCTTGAGTTTTCGAAGGTGAAGCAACATTTGATGCTTTGACCTTTTTATTTGAGTTATTCAATTCATTTTCTTCCTTAGAAATTTTCTTGAGATATTCGTTCACTTCATCTTTGTTAACATTTGAATCATACTCAGAAATATTTTCTGATAATTCAGAGAATATTTGGTCGAACGTTGGTCTTTCGTCAATTTTTTTGCTGATGCAACGTAAAATTAAAGATTTCATTTTTTCTGGCGTGTCATCTGGAAATTGGGGCCTGTACCCTGAAATTATTTTGGCAATCAATTTGAACGAACTAATTTTGCCAAGCTCCGAGTAAGGATCTTTTGCTGTCACGATTTCGTAAGCGATGATTCCGAACGAGAAGACGTCGACAGCCAAGTTGAAACGCTGCTCATTCAATTCTTCGTCAAATAATTCAGGGGCCAGGTAGATGGGTGCCCCAATATTTTTTGACAATATTAATTTGAGCAATTTTGAAAGGATTCCTGAGAAGCATTTCGATAATCCGTAATCACTAATATGCGGGTTGTAATCATCGTCAATTAGTATGTTTTCTGGTTTAAGATCACAATGTAAAATTCCTTGTTTGTGGAGATATCGCATTGCGTTTGAAATGCCAAGTAAATTTATGTATTTTTTGGTCGGATTCCATTTTGGATCTGATTCTGATTGCTTTTCTTTGTCAAGAATTGACCTTAATGAGCCATTGGGAAAATATTCTGTAAGGATGGATGGCTCAAACTTGTTTTGATCTGTAAAAGATTGAAAGTTAATACCGATGAATTTGACAATAGAAGGATGTTGAAGCTGATGAAGAATTAATGATTCATGCATAAAAGACATTTGTTCTGGTCCATTGAAACCATTACTAGTATTAATTAATTTTACTGCGTATTCTTTGTTTTCATTAATATTCTTGACTGTACAAACTTTTCCAAGAACTCCTTTACCTAGACTAACATTTGTTATTTCATAATTAGTTGTATCAAAGAATATTCCATTAAAATCCATAGTTCGGAAATAAAATTCTATAGATAAAAAGTTTTATTTTTGTAAAAAAATGATGAAATATAATTGTTTTTATAGGTATTTATGATTATTATCATTTTTATATAATATATATGAATTAATATTTTTATATTTACAACAATATTTTTCATTTTTAAATTTTATTTTCTCATAAAATTTATTTTTCTTAAAACCATTTTCGTTAAGCATTTGAATGAATAGAAAAATTCTTTACTTATTTCAAAATTTAAAATAGTAATTTTGTAATATTTAATAAATATTTACATATCATTTATCAAATAAATATATTTTTGATTTTATTAAAATATTTGTAGATCAAAAAAGTAAAGAAAAATTAATAATTTAAGGAAAAAATAGTTTTTTGATTTTTGTATAAAAAATTTGAAATAATTAATTCAACATCATATTTTAATTTATATGATTATTAAGCATAATATTAATTAGTAAATTTATTTTTAAATAAATTTTAATCTATTGATTTTATATTCTCAGAATTTCTTATCAATTGAAATAATTTTATCCTCAGAAATTATCTCAAAAATAATCAGACTTTTTCTGAATATTATTCCTGACTTTTTGAGAAGAATATTTTCTAAAATATTGAATTTTTATTCCTGTTTTTATGTCAAATTAGATGAATTATAGGAAAAAATAATTTAGAAAAACAATAATCCAATGAATAAGTTTTCCTTTGGCTTAAACAAAATAAAAGAATATCATTTTTTTATTGTTTACTTATAATTTGGTTGATTACATGATTGTCTCATTTAATTAGGTGCCGCCTCCATTTATTTTTTTTATTCATTTTACTGTTTTTATCTTTTTATTGATTGAAAACTTTTTCTAGAAAAAGTGTTACTTCTCCACTCAATATTCTAATCCGGAATTCAAATCATGTTGGTGCAAAATGGTATAAACGTTAATCTTAAGAGCAATGATATCGACCAAATGATCCCAGTAGACTGAGTTAGATAGAAATGAAGGTGGTTCAAGTGCCATTTTAAAAAGAGTATTGATGACTTTATAGAAGTTATTTGCATCTTTTTTGCTTGAAATTTGATTTTTTATGGGATGATGGGTGATTTGGCTAAAATTAATCTTATTTATATGCAAAACAAGCAAAATCTTAAAGATGCAATTCAGAATTTAATTGATATTGATGCAATAGATAAAATTAATTTTGAAATTACTGATCTTGGTAATGAGTTATTGAGATTTAATTTCATCCCAATTCAATATGTTAACGCTGTGGTTAATTATTCAAAGAGATTTAATGATTTGAAAGATAAGAGAGACACTTATTTTTTTGCACCAAACAAACTAAAGAATTTGGCGAATCTACTGATTCCATAACTGAAATCAAATCAATTTACTCTTAGTATTCAAATTTTTGTCGTGGTGCAATTCTTAATAAAAAATTGATTAATAATTTAGATGAAATCTGTC